CTATGGTATTTTTTATACATGAAGGAAAAATTCGTGATAATTTGCACTAGTGATTTTTTCTTCATTGAGAGTTATGTATTCAAAAGATTCTTCAACTCTCGTATGAATTGGTAAAACAGGGAGAGTAAGGTTCTGCTGGGTGGACTTGCTGATTGTTTCAGAGTAATTGTCGTAACATTCGAGTTCAGGTTTTTAGCATATCAAAGGTTCCTGCTTATATATTTAAATATTCTTTTGGGTGATTCGGCAGTGACTATCAATCCATGTTCATAACTTTTTTTGGCCTCAGTAAATTGCTGCTTTAAAACATTGTTCTGGATTGTGACACTGTAGTTCTCTGCTGTTTTATTGCCCCTATACTATATATATATATATATATACTTGTCCCATAATTTTCTTTTTTTGTTGATTTCTTCGAATAACTTTTGATTTATCCATGCTGGTTTACTTGTACTGACTTCAATGGCATTTATTGGTTGATTACACTTCTCTCAAAATTTTCAAATTAAGTCTTGTTTAGATTTTCAGATCGTTGTCTGATAAAGTCATTAATTTTGCTGTATAGTCTGCAGTGTAGTAGTCTCTTCTCAGGACTTCATGAGTTGGCTTTGGTGGAAGTTCAAGCTAGGTTTTGGCAGTAAAATTTGTTTCCTGGATGAATTTGAATTTTGTTATCCTTACCCAGGGCCGGATTAAGGGGGGGGGGGGGGGCTTTGGGGGCTAAAGCCCCGGGCCCCGAAATGAGGGGGGCCCCAAAACACCACCTCACGCGGGGAAGAAATCATGCATATAATTTACACCAAACAAAACCGTCGTTTTTAAAATTCGAAGCCCACACACTTCAGGTTTGTTGACATTTCGAACATAAAATCAGGTGAAGCCAGATATTTGCATCGGTTTTGTATGCCAGCAAAAACGACAATTTTTCGCACACACACTTCGGTTTTGTGTCGTTTTTGCTCGATCAGATTTGCACGTACAACAGAACTGTCCAACAAAAACGCAGTATGTGGGCCCCTTTACAATTTGAGAGCGTTAACCACCAGTAATTCTGTAATCATAACTTTTTGGCGTTAATATGCATAATTAATATCAAAATTTATACGAGAAAGTTGTGAGAACTACTATATCTAGCTGATTACATGGCAATAAATTTTATTTGCCAATTTTTTAATTTTTATTTTGATTTAAAAAACAAATTTTAGAAATGTTACAAAGTACGGTGATAGTGGTGGATAATTCAGAAATATTTATTCAAGAAAAAAAATTTCCAAATCAAACAGTTTGTCTAAAATTACATTTTTTAATCTGCAAGGTAAAATTTTGAGTGACGTTTGAATTTATTTCAGGGACCTAGGGGCCCCTTTTGTGAAAATAGCCCCAGGCCCCAAAATACCTTAATCCGATCCTGTCCTTACCGTAATTTTGACTCATATATAAATCAGAGTCTCATGAGAAAAATTATTTATTTGAACCTACCTAATGAATTTGGAGCAGCGGCAATAAGACCAGAAGTTGCAACTGGTATAAAGTTGGTCATATTTTTCCTTATTCAGACAACTTCACAATTAGGTAGGTAGAGTACCTTCCTTACCTTTATTTAATTTATTTTTTAGGGGAAAACCCCATTAAGAGTTTACAATTAACAAAATATAAAGTTATGAATATAGATTAGACATAAAAAACACCAAAATTGTCATTCGACCATACAGCTTCAGGTAGGTTGTAATCACCAAAAATATAAATATAGGTACTGAGATGGATACCTATCTAATACATTTTCCACTGCTTCACAATGAGAGCTATAATATAGGTCAGGCATACTAGGAGGGATATATAAACCTGCTATGACAAATTTTGAACCTTTGTACTCACACGATATGAATAACTGTTCGACATTTTCTTGGACTATGCTAACCCTTACAGAATCAATAGTTTTTCTCACATACATTAGAACACCTCCACCACTGGACTTAAGGCTTGTCAAATTAGACCTATCACTTCGAAATACATTAAAATTTGTACATTGTAGTTCGCTATCCAAAAAGTCACTATTCAGGTTACTTTCAACTAAGACTATTAAATCATACGAGGAACAATTCACAGCCAACTTTAGGACGTCCAATTTGGTACGCAGACCGCTCACATTCTGGTAATAAACCGCCAATGGGAATGCACCTAGTTTTCTTGTGGCGCCATCGCTTTTTTGGCAACAACAGATGGTACTCATGTACCTTATTACAAGGTTCCCACCCTCCTGATTTCTGCGGGTTAGTTCCTGTTTTGCAGTTTTGTATTGGTCTTGCTGCATCTTTGTTGAGTCGTTAGCTATTCTATAGCGACATGACTCAGCTTGGAGTTTTTTCTTTGCACGTAGTGCCTTCTGCACAATTTCTGAGTTTTTGAAGATAATTTTGTCATTGGCGTATCCAGGATTTTGGTTTAGGGGGGGCTGTGCTAACAAAAAGTGCTGATAAAAAAAAGCGCCGCAGACGAAGAAAATTTTTGGAGCCACGCCCAATTTTTCTAGGGAATTTACCTGTAACATACCCAAACGTTACGCGACTATTTTTTTTTGCGGGGCTAAAATAGTAATTTCTTGTGCGACCAGCCATCAAATAAGTGGCATTTTGTAGCCCTGCAGGCCGAAAAGTATCAAATTTCGCCCTCAAATCAGGGCGGAAATAGCTCCTATGCGACCCTGTAGTAGATATAGATAATTCATAGAAAAACTTTATTAGGATATTGAGAAATAAACTTTATTTCTATTAAGGAAAATTCAACAAAGTACGTACATAAACTGCACCATAAAAAATAGATATTGAGAATATTTACGAATAATAATGGAAAGTACGGTATGCAGAATAATTATTATGAAAGGGAAAATTGAATAATGGTTATAATAAATAAAATCTTCTCTTGAAAAAAATAGTTTAGACATGCCCCTGGATACGCCTATGATTTTTGTAGGTCTTTTCTTACCATCCACCCTTTGACCAATTCGAAAAACCTTGTCTTTCGCGTCAACCTCATTTTCATATCCTTGCTTCTGGAAAATATTGTGGACAATGGAGGTATCATGCTTATCTTCTCCTGTAGTCCAGAATTAGCTAGCTCGGGAACATCAAACACCATGAGATCTCTGGCTCGAATATGACGCTCATGGGCTTCAGATAGAATTTGCTCTGTATTTGAAGATGGAGACGTTTTGAGCACCTCTATCTCTTTTTTCAGCTTGATTACTTCATCTTGCAGCTCCTCAATTTTTTTTATTACCATAGGTGCCGATTTAAAAGCGTTTCGGCACTCAGCACACAAGTACATTAAGAGCCTTTTCTGGAGCACAACTGCTCTTTGTTCAGAGCTAGATAGTCCAGAACATCCTTCGGCCAGATGAAAGGCTACTCTGCAGCAGTCGCAGGTCACGTTCTTGTCCTCCTCCCCAATGGCATCATCACATTTATTGCAGCATCTAGGCATGGTATAACCTCACCTTTCAAATTTATGAAATAATCGCTACAAAAACGAGAAATTTAATTACTTTGTTCGAAATGGTGGATAAATTTAACGTTGCATTTACCATTTGAAAATACTTTGAACTCAAAAATTCACTAGATTAAAAAGTAAACAAACAAATCTATAGGAACATAACCTTGCTAATTTAATGTTTATATCAGTTTTTGAATTTCTAATATGATGTTTTTTTTTAAGATTTAGTTTTTACTAAATGTACCTATGTAAGAAGTTAACTTACTTTTTGATAAACTTACTATAGAAGTAAAGTTTTTCATATAAGATAGTTCATATTTGTTGTGTATGGAATTTAACCTTCCCAAAACTAAATTGCATACTGTTTTTGAAAAATAAATTGATTTGTATTGTTTACATTATTGCATGTTATTATATTTTCTTCAATTTGTATTTCAAATTGTCTGGAATTCATAACTTGATTCAAAGTATGTAATTCCTAATTATTTATTAGATTTTGGCAACAGTCAAGACGATACGTAGATTTTGTATACCATCAAATCAAATACCTCATTTTATTACTCTCGAGAAAAAACAAAAACTCCATTGAACCTATGTAACATATACATTTACTCGGTTTCTAAAAAGCCAGACCGCATAATGCTTTCAAAAACACCACTAACGTCATAAAATCCAATACTGCAACAAAACAAGATTTTCTTCAAAACCAAAGTAAAAAAATTGTTTACTCGATAAAATTTTTGGATAAACTAACATTGGGGCAAAATATTTTTCTATTAATTTCATTTGCGGGAAATTCGTAATTCTTCAAATTATTATTAACGCTTTTCATCATGTTTATACGTCTACTTGTTTTTGTATCAAGTGTCGACAAAATGTATCTCAAAAGAAAAGTGTTTTTAGCATACAGTATATATTTGTTAGCAAAATTAATATAATAAGAAGCTCTACCACTTCACTTCCTACAGAAAAGTTTAATTTCAAACGAGGCTAATTAACTGACAGACAAAACCTGACAATAGGGAAATACATTTTATCCACATTGACACCAAATCTTATATGTTTAGACATATTTTTGGCAGCAACTGGATGGTCTAAAGCAATAAACCCAATAAATTGTTCATTTACATTACATTACATTTTCCTGGCTATCGTAAATGTTCAATAATCAAATAATAAGAGATTGTATAAAAAAAGCTGCTAAGCGAAAATAAAAAACACAAAATACAGTTGGTGCCAATTTTTTGAAATTATTCTCTTTTACTGCATTGAAAAAAGGTTTTTTTGCAAAATAAAATTACATAATTTTATAACAAATTTTGTATTCTGGAAAGTTATTTCACATATTTTTAAATAGAATTAAAAGAAATGTAGTACCTACTTGGTACCTACATACCTATATATAGACATTTTTTTTTGAACTGTATAACAATAAGATATACTTTGGAATGCGGAGCTTAATTTTCTTAACTTGGGTATATGGTACCTACTCAATATACTAGTAAATCTACCTGTTTTTCCAACATCAGGTGCCCCAATCACTGCCACTTTAACTTCAGACATTGACGATTTCTTCCTTTTCATAACTTTTGCATTCATGTTTATTTCTTGTTTCACCCAAAGAAAAAAATCAGCTAATTTAATACACTTTCATCGAGCTTGAACGTAAAAAAAAAATAATTAGCTGCCTATCAGAAACTCGTTTTCGACACCTTGTCTATCAATTGACGAGTGCTTTTATCCACGCGAAAAGTACGAGATCCCGTCTATACCGTAGTTCTTCTAAAATTAAACCCACGGGAACCACAGCGAGACTATATCACAAAAATGCTTTGCTTGCGAACTTTTTCTCGAGTTAAGTTGAACGGACAGGTGGGAATAAGTAAATTTAGATTCTTGTGCTACGGTTTTTTTTTTTTCAATAGATGTAGCGTACAGCGTACAGGTTAGAAGAAAAAAAGAAAAAATGAAAAAACGAGATCTGCAGAAGAAAGCACATGACACAAAAAAAAAAGAAAATAGCTACCTACCTACTAATGGTAAAAATGTCCGATAACTTTTCAAATCTATTTACGAAAGTTTCTTGCTCAGCAATTTCAAGTTTTTATGTTCAATGCTTCGAGCGAAATAGCTTGAAAACAGTTGGAAAAAATTTCAGCACGACTTGTATTATTCGTGGCTATTTTACGAATGTCTTTTGGTATTTCTTCTTCTTCTTCTTCTTCTTCTTCGTCAGCCTATACTCGTCCACTGCTGGATAAAGGCCTCTTCCAGATTTTTCCATGTACGTCGGTCTGATGTCATCTCTCCACCGTTTCTAAGGGCGTCCGGCGTTTCGTTTACTTATTCGGGGTCGCCAGAATATAATTTCAGATGTCCATTTATCTGGGTCCACTCGTGCTATGTGGCCTGCCCGTTGCCATTTTAATTTCGCTGCACGAGCTAGTATCTCGGTGACCTTTATTCTGTTTCGAATGTCAGTAGTGCGTACTCGGTCTCTTAGAGTGATTCCCAACATAGCTCTTTCCATAGCCCTTTGACATACGCACAGTTTTTCCTTAGATTTCTTCGTAAGGGTCATGGTTTCCAGTCCATACGTAGCAACAGGGAGTACACACGTGTCATATGTTTTTCTTTTGAGGGAAAGCGAAATGTTTTTATTTTCAAAGATGAAATCCAACTTTCCGAATGCAGCCCAGGCCAAACCTATTCTCCTCTTTAGCTCGGCACTCTGATTTTCTTTACCGAGCTTTATGACATGCCTTAGGTACCTATATATATTGAACCACTTTCTCTACGGCAATGTTATCTATGTTTATTAGGAGATTTCCATTGCTAAAAATTTTCGTTTTAATAAGATTCATATTTAGTCCCATCTTCTTTGACTGTGTGTTTAGTTCATTTAGCATTGTACCTAGCTCTTGTATGTCGGAGCTTATCAATACAATATCGTCCGCAAATCTCAAGTTAGTCAATTAGTGAGATGACTTCCATCTATGTTTATTCCCTTGTCTACCCAATGTTTTCCAACGCTAAACTGAAAAGTTTTGGCGATATGGTATCACCTTGTCTCACTCCTTTTCCTAGGGGGATTTTGTTCGTTTTCATGTCATCATCGATCCCAGTGGCGCACCCAGGTTTTTTATTTGGGGGGGGGTTTCATAATGATGAAGGGTCGTCGTAGGCAGGCGCATTTCGGGGTCACGTCCAAAAACGTTTATTTTAAGCCTTCAAAAAATTACTTTTTGTAAGTGATTGTATAGTCAGAGCTGCTGGGCAACATGCGATTATACTATAAACTCGACTATTGCTGAAACCTCTATTAAAGTAATCGCGACAAAAGGATGGCCACAGGGCGGAGCAATTTCACCACTCTTGTAGAATCTAGTCGTGGATGAACTTCTAAGGAAACTAAACGATCAAGGCTACATCATCCTAGGCTACGCGGATGACATAGTCGTTGTCATTAGGGGAGGATTTACCAGGACGGTATCAAACCTCATGCAGAACGCCTTAGGAATCATTGAGGAATGGTGTACGAGGGAGCAACTTCGCGTCAACCCCTCCAAAACAAAACTCATTCCTTTCACGAGAAAAATAAATCTGGAGAACTTAATCGCCCCCATCAGTCTATTCCAAAAAACCTTGGAGTTTGGCAGGGAAGCTAAATTTCTAGGCACCTAGATATGAAGCTGACATGGTAGGTACCAACACATCCAAAAGATAACCACCAAAAGCAAGATGACGTTGATGACACTAAAAGAGCGATTGGGAAAACATGGGGACTAGAACCATCAGTTGTACAATGGATATACACTACAGTTGTAAGACCAATGATAACATATGGTGAACTTGTATGGTGACCTAAAGTCAACCAAAGACAAGCAAACCTGGAGCTAGCCAAAATCCAGAGACTAGCGTTTCTTTGTATTACCGGTGCACAGAGAAGCACACCAATGGCAAGTATGTCAACCTCTGGGAGAAATACACTACTCTATTCCAAGTAGAAATATATGCCATCGACTCCTGTCTGAGAGAAAACCTGAGGAGGGGATACACAGGTAAAAACATCCTTATCTGCTCAGACGGTCAAGCGGTCGATCAAAGCACTCAACAGCTTGGAAATAAAATCCAAAATTTTCTGGGAATGCTTGGAAAACCTCAAAAACCTAACAACAAGGTAACCCTTAAATGGGTGCCAGGGCACAAAGGAATTGAAGGAAATGAAAAAGCAGATGCTCTGGCAAGAGAAGGATCGGCAACCAGTTATACTGTCCTGAACTCAATTGGAACCACAAAATCATCGGTAAGAACAAAAATAAACCGATGGGTGTATAGACAAGCTGTATAGCAAACTCTTCCGAAGCTCAGATACAGTAAGCTAATGGTACAACAACCATCACCTTAACTAACTTAAGAAATCCTACAAACTAAACAGGAATCAAATCAGGCTAATAACTGGACACTGTAGCCCGAGAAAACACCTTCACACAATGGGCATCCTCCAAGAAGAACCCATATGCAGACTTTGTGACGAGGAGGATGAAACCGCCACCTACATAATCTTTGAATGTGAGGCTTTACGCTGGTGGATATACAGACAGATAGGGCCAGAAGACCCTATCTCTAAACTTACCAAAAGTAACACGGTGAAGAGGCTCCTAAACCTAAGTAAGGTCACGAAACTTTTCACTGACTAAACAGACAAACATGACAATACAATAAGCCGAGGGCTGCAGTGTTGGGGCCAATCGCAAAAAAAAAAATATTTTTACCGAAAAATTCTTTGTACCAGTGCTAAATTTCGGGGGGGGGGGGGGGGGGGGAGGGGGTTTTAACCCCCAAAACCCCCCCTTGGGTGCGCCACTGCGTTCCTTATATGAAACGTTGCTTGTTGGTATATGTTCTTCAGGAGGAGGGAAGAACGTGAATCGATTCTGGCGTCGTCCATTGCCTCAAGAAACGACCATGTTTCGATGCTATCAAAAGCTTTATGATAATCTACAAAAGCCATATGTAGGGGGATATTATATTCTGAATTTTTTTCTATGAGTTGTCTTATGGTCTGTAGGTGAGCCGTGGTGGAGAATCCCTTGCGAAATCCTGCCTGTTCGACTAGTTGATAGGAATCGAGTTTTGTTGTTAAACGGTTCGTAATGATTTTCATGAGTAGCTTATATAAATGAGAAAGCAGGCTATTAGGACGATAATTCTCTATATTCGTGTTTTCTCCTTTTTTAGATAGAAGTGTCACTCAGGTATTTTTCCTTCTGAGAGGCATTTATTGAGTAGTGTTTTGATATGGTACATAAGTTCGTTGCCTCCCAATTTTAGTATCTCTACGGTTATGTGTTCTTCCCCTGGAGATTTTTTATTTTTTAAATGTCTTAACGCGTGTTTTAGTTCTGAAGACGTAATTTCGGGTATTTCTTCTGAGCCCATGTTTAGAATTTTCCTCGGTTCGTATACCGTAGACGTATAGAGGTTTTACTGAAAGTGCTGAATTTCGTTTTCAATGGATTTTTTACCGCTCACGAGTACTCCTTGTTGATTTTTGATGTCTATAATTCTTTGTTTTCCGTTGGATGACTTGGTTTTCAGTACTTTCATATTCTTGTTGGCTTCGATTGTTTCTAAGATTTGTTTAGTTGTATAAGTTCTCAGGTCTGTCCTTATCATTTTTTTCACTCTTGCATCCTTCTCGTTGTATTGTGGATCATCTCTGTTATTAAATCTATAGTTTTTGGGCTTAGTTTTGTGTTCTTTGGATTTTTACTTTTGCTGCATATTTTCTTTGTTGTTGTCTAAATGGATTCTGTTATTTTTTCAGCTAACTTGTTAAGTTCTGTTGGGTTTTCAATTAATTTTAGTTTCTTTTGAAGCCTTTTGATATTTTGATTTTGATATTCATCTTTTTTTTCTCCATTGTTGGGAACCTCGACTTTTTCATTAATTTTTGTCTTTCATGTCTTGTATTTATTTCTATCGTAGCTATAACCAACCTGTGATCACTTCCGGTATTGAATCGTCAATAGTCAATTTCATTTTTTGTCTTTTTGTCTGGGCTAACCAACGTCCATTTTCGTTTGGATGGGTATCGTACGCATAAGCAAGTATTAGTTGCGAACTATTGGTTTGGAAGAGCTCTGGAGTCCCTTACAACCTTCTCCAAGGCAATATTGAGAAGAGTCACAGTGTGTCACCCTGCTTCGAACCGTATTTATCCCAATGGAGTAGAAAGAGGTATGGAATGAACTTTGCGTCATCCATTTGATTCCAGAATGAGATAGCGCTAGTAAGGGCAAGAAATATATTGGATCTCCCATATCTCTCACTCTAACCCTGAGTGAGATAGCGCTAGTAAGGGCAAGAAAATCTCATGGATTTCTCCTATTCTCTCACTCTAATGCTGGCCGCAAATATATGTATTGAGTAGATAGGCAAAGGGCTATTCCAACCTTCTTACTACATCATTGATTTATCCTGAATAGGTCCGACATATTACTCCCAACTTTCACTCTGCAACTGGAACTTTCTACACAAACTTTTGTTAATCTTATGAGGTATTCTGAATTCTGCCATTGTCTCCCAGATCTTAACTCTTTTCACACTATCATATGCATGTTAGAAATCTATAAACAGTTGGTGTATCTGCCTATTGAATTCACAGCGTTTGTCCAGTACCTAGCTGTCTAATTGTTAACAGTCGGTGGGTGGTTTTGTTTATCTTGCTTGATTCGCTCCGTTCAGGATTTAACAATGTTTATCAGTTTAATAAAAAAAAAAGGTATTTTGGAATAATTATCCATACCCCAATATGTTCAGTATTAAAAATAACCTTAGATTTAAAATAAATTCAATACACAATCAAAAACGTTGCTTACCCTCGAAATAGGCCTATTTCCCGGTTTACAGTACCTTTCCTATTTTAGGTTAAGCCTGAAACTTATAATAAGAACATACAAGAATGAATAATAAGGTAATCAAGCCTATGATGTATCATTTCCCGTTATTTTAACAGCAGCATAAGTTATCTGTCACTGTTTATTATATACGTCAAAATAGAGACGGAAATAAATGTCGAGCCGTAACACAGCCGTTAAAATAACAGGACAGGATACATCATAGGCCTGAATAACTCCTATAATTAAAAACAAAACACCAAAGTTTTTATTGGTTGTTGAAAACCCTTGGTATGCTGAAGGATACTTATGATGGTAATAATTGCGGGTTGAGTATTTCTTTTGACCCCAGAGCTTCATTACCAATCAGCTGGAGTACAACCATATGATTTCAGGACCCAGGACAACACACACATGTGACCCAACTGACTTACAGAGAGCTCCTTGATTGTTTGCTGACTTTGCTGTGTGCAAATCTTACAGCGACCCAGGAATCTACCTGACGTGGAGTGAGGATTAAGGGTCCTCCCCAAATCTTCTTGGTGGTTAGGGATGTTCTAGCAACTAGGGGGGCGGTAAGGCCGACTGGAGTAGTTCAGAAGGTACCTCTGGAGTTTGGGGGTTGATGGGCAACCGGCACTCGGGTATCGGACAAGAAGCAATGCCTCCAATAAGGCAGGGCCTATTTTTGATTCAGTTGGGCCAAGGCCCAAGCAAAACTTCGGGCCCCCAATATCCTATGATGACAATAGGTACAGCGGTGACTCCGTGGGTTTCGGACAATGGGGGGGGGGGGGGGGTGTCTGTTTCTGCTTCTTAAATTTTTTTAAATCGAAATCGAAAATCAATTGTAGAATCTAGAGCCGGCCTCACACAACCGGAATGTGTTTCTGAATCCAGAAACAGAATTCAGGATCTGAATTCTGGCACATTGCCCCACACATATATTAAAAACTCCGCGTCCAGTATTCTCCTATAGTTTGGGCATCTTTAGAGCAGTGTTGATTGGAAGGGGAGAATCAGAATCTGAATTCCGGCTGAGTGGAGCTTGTATATTTGGAAGATATGGAAAAAAATGCGTTATAAATTATAATCTTAATTTTTCAGTTGATTTCAAAACGCTCGTCAGAGTCACTCTGGCAGATCGATATGAAAAATTCATAATCTGAAAAAATCAAAATGTGTGTACTGTATAATAAAAATATATACAATTCCGTACGTTAGAATTCAGATTCTGAATTCAGGAACAGAATTCAGGATCTGAATATTCTGGTTGTGAGCTTGTATATTTGAAACATGGATAAACATGCGTTATGAATTATAATCTCAATTTTTCAGATCCGGAATTCGAAACGCTCGTCAGAGTCACTCTGGCAGATCGATATGAAATATTCATAATCTGAAAAAGTCAGAATGTGTGTGCTGTATAATAAACATATACAGGGTGTCTCCGTTCAACTGGTTAAAAATGCTAGGGTACATAGAGGAACCATAGAGAAATAGTTTGAGATAGGACACCGATGGTCAGAAGTCCGTCGTTTCCAAAATACAGGGTCTTGAAATTTAAAGATCGCCTTACGAGTCTAGCACTATGGAAAGAATGCGGATAAAAAAATTGCAATATTGCCTATTTGACTTCCAATAGAAAATACCTTAATATTTATCTATGTTACACTCCTACATTTATAAGGAAAAAGTAATATTTAAAAACGCTGCGCGCACGCCTATGACATTAAGCTCGAAATTAATGGCGTTATTCCCCCTTTCCCTTCAGACGTCCTCGTGCTAGACTCGTAAGGCGAACTATAAACAACCCTCTTTCATATCATCTGAAGGGCTTAATACTAGGCTGTTCAAATTTTCAGGGATTATTGATGTATATTCCTACATCAACAAACATTCGTATAATGCACCCCAATTTTCAACCTGGAACCACCCCAAAAAAATGGGGACACCCTGTGTACAATTCCGTACGTTATGAATTCAGATTATGAATTCCATTTCTGAATTCAGAAATACATTCCTGCTGTATGAGGCCAGCCTAAAAGTCTAATTTCATTTAATTTTCTGAATCAGATCCCGGAATATTCGTTTTTTTTGTGTTTATTTAAAATTGAAATGATAATTTTTTTTTTGCAAGCCTTTCTCGGGGCCCCACTTTACACCGGCCCAAGGCCCGGGCCTTATGTGCCTTTTGGTAAAATAGGCCCTGCAATAAGGGGGAAAATGAAAGTGAAGAAAGACTAAAGGAAAAAGGCGCACATAGTGAGCAAACAGCAAATATAGTAAAGAAGTATTCTAAAAGAACTTTAACGTTGTAGAACTTATCCAAAAGAAAAATAGCAGAAAATGAAAACTTACCAAAATACTTTAGCCTTTTCCAGACACAGCACACGAAGAAAAACGGCCAAATTTGAGACTGTAACCCTTTAAAACTCGCACAACCAAATCTGCCTATAGTGGCACTGTGGTGCTATAATCTCAGCAACCCACAATTGGGAGTTAGGGGCTCCAACCTATATACACCTATAGTTTCACCGTTTATACTAGTTTCATGTAATCAGTTAATTTCTAGTTCTATTTATCTCTTTATAATTTGGGTGTTTAATGTGCTGAGTATGTTTTCAATACGTTTTCTCTTGATCCTTGGAAATGCTTTTATAAACATTCTTCATATTTGATCTCATTTAAAATTCTACTTTTCAAAATTTATCATTTCATAGTGTACTCTATCAGAGAATCATTGCTTACCTTTGCACACATTAATGTTGACAAAAAGCAGAATACCTATTAGGTATTATTTGACGTATACACTGTCAAATTCGAAATTCAAGTTATGTCTGAAAATTTGCGATTCCCAGCCCAAGCCGTCCAAGGCATCGAGCACGAAAAATGGAAAGCCATGGTGGACAGCGTTATAGATTTCATATCAGCGTCCAGAGCCATGCTGCACCTGCTCAATGACAAATTAGCAGACAACGAAAAGTGGAACGAAGACCAAAGAAAGAAAATCGAAGAGGAAAAAAACATGACCGCATTTTATAAAGGTAATTTTAAAATCTAGTGCAAAATACAAAAATTTGGGTCATTGTTGTGCGTCAACAATATCGTCTTAACCCTGAAAAAAAAAACAAATCACTTCTTGGCTAAGGACAAGCTTTTAAGCTAATTTAATAATAATAAATTTTCAATTTCACCCGGAAAATCTATTTATAAAATAATTTAACTGACGGAGGCGTCGTAGGAATAAAATAAATTCCCTGAATTAAATGTCCAGAAATTGTTTAACGACTTTGGCAGTCAGAAACGACAACTCTATTTTTCTTGATCGATTTATTGTGTGAAATTCATTGCCAATTTAATTATAGATTACTTGAGCTTGGAAATCGCACCAAAATTGGATAGAATGTCAGCTACTACAGGAACTGCAATTGAAAATACCGATGTTGAGAAATTCAAGCGTGGTATCGAAATAAAGAGTGCAATTGGAACTATTCAAAAAAATGAAGTCAAGCCGTGCAAATCTTGTAAAAGTTGTAGAAAACTTGAGGAGTTACCACTCCCGGAACATAGAGATAAAAATCCAATAACCACTTCTTTTCGAAACAAGTTGTTTAGTACACAAGAAACTCAATTGATTGTGGAAAATAGGTCTGAAGAAAGTCAATATGTGGCCGAAAATAAGTCAATTAATATTCAAACATGTTCTAAAATGGAAAGCATTCCTACAGATATTAAATGTAAAACACAATGTTCTAAGCATGCAAATAATAATGTAACTTCTAGTCCAAAAGAAAGTATGCTTCAGAAAAGCGCTAATGCTCTCCCAAAAAATACTCCGAAATTCAGTAAAATCCCTAAAACGCAAAGTTTCAATGATAGTAGAAACAAAAGTAAGTAGATATAATAAAGAAATTAAATATTTTTAATAAAGAAATCTTTTATTGAAATTTTAGATTCATCAGTTGGGCATACCGGAAAAGAAAGACCCATGACTGCTAAATCTATATGCAAGAAAAGATTATTTCAAAAAGAAGCAACTTACGAAGATTTAAGTCAAAAAAGTAAAAGTCAGATGCTATAATTACTAAAGGTGCTGGTTCTCTCCAAAGTCAATGTGTTTTGTTCCATGTCCATGTAAAAACTCAATAAAACCAAAATAATTTATTTACAAAAAAAAATAACGTATTTTCACAAATCCTGTATTTAGTATTCGTTAATAGATTGCCTCAGTTTTATAACTTCTTCGAGGCCCCTACCACGTTTTACCGCCACTTCGTACCACATTCTGACATTCAGGAGAACAATCTTCAATGAAACTCCTAGTTACTTGTGGTTTCGCTCCAAAACCTCTACCAACTGGTGTCTGCTGTCCCGCCATTCCTGATTCATGACACATTTTTGGGTCCTGTTGTCCAAGCGAGTATGTCTTGTTTCCCATTATTCCTGGTTCGTATATATTCTGCCCCGGTGGACAGTATTCTCTGCCAACTGGTCCATAAGAAGCTCCTTGGTCTGGCGAGTTTCTGCTCATCATGCCTGGTTCGTAACCTATTTCCTGGCCTGGTCCACAATATTCTGCCATTAGAAGTTCCGGTGCCTTCCGCATGATTCCTGGTCCGTGAAATGGTTTTTGGCCACCAGCACTTCTAGGTCTAATAATTCAAGAAAAAATAATTAATTTATGCTCATTTGCTATTTGTGGATGTTAATTGTTCAAGGTTTTCTTGATCTTGCCAGGAATTTAAAATTTTACAGTAAACGTAACGTAAGTATACCTATACAGGGTGTCTCACCGGAAACCAAATTGTCTTTGGTTTGGGTTGGATTCCCTGTTGAGAAGGAGTTACTTGAATAGGTTTTTATAATATTTTGGTAAATATCATAGCAGGGTGTTCAAAAAATAATATTGAGAAAACCGCCGAAAATCAATTTTTCTGCGATTGACAAGAAATGTCAGCATTTTTGACCGGTTGACAGGTCGCAAAACTCAATATTCTGGTATTTTAATTATGTTCCAATAGTTGCTAAGGAATCAATGAATAACAATACCGGAATCACTTTTCCGGCCTAGGCCGGGAAAGTAAATCTCGTATTGCTGAATAATTGGAACAAAAAGACAAACATTTAACAGATATTTAACCGATCGCAAGAAAAATAATATGTGTATTTCGGTGGAAAAGCACATTCTCGGCCTTCGCGGTGTTTTCCACCTAAATACACAATATACTATTTTTTCAAATAATAGAAATGTATAATTTAATGCAGACTTCTTCCAGGTAATCTTATTCTTTGTATGTAGGTACAGGATTTTCCTGTATATTTTTGCACACCTCCTGCAGCCTTAACCTTTATAGGTAGATAATAGGTGTGAATACAAAAGTTGTGAAATTTTCGGTAAATTTTTAAAATCCATCGTCAGGATCAAACATTTATTTTCAGAAATTTGAAATTTTGCGTACTTTCAACTTTTTTCAAATGAAATGCCCTATATTTGATTCTATGTTCTTGAGGCGAACAATTTTCCAATTCCAAAAATATATAGTTTGTCTATATTTGGTTGAGCCGTCTCCAAGATATTTACTATACATACTATACATTTTTGGAATCGGAAAATTGTGCTCTTCCAGATTATAGAAATAAATATACGGATTCTATTTGAATTGAAAAAAGTTGAAAGTACGCAAATTTTTTGGACCCTGCCCAAAGTATACGGAAATTGTCTTTATGTCAGAATTGGCTGAATTTTGTATGTAATGTAGATCACCCTTTTTTGATTAAAAGTTACCATTGCACCAATCCTAAAACATTACTCCTTTTTGAGACAATTATTTTCATAGGTAGCAAGTGAAACGATTGGACATTGTAATGGTCGTTGAATGTAGCACGAAAAGGTAAGCTTGTGGCGCAGTGGTGTGCTATGTGGAGTCATTTTTCAGGATTGGTGCAATGGTAACTTTTAATCAGAAAGGCGTGATCTATTGTCCGTCGATTTTAATCTGATACTCGGACGGAATGTGAGCTGGTGGCTCCCTACATTAGAACGCCAATGGTTACCTGCCGTCACACCTGTTTTTGCCGTATGAAACACCCCCTCGCTCCTCATACGGAAAGTGTCAGTTAAAAATCGACGAACAATACATTATATACAAAATTCAGCCAATTCTGACATAAACACAATTTCCGTATACTTTGGGCAGGGTCCTTTACGAAGATAAATTTTTGTTTCTGACGATTCTAGAAATTTACCTAAAAGGGCATAACTTTTGTATTTACATCTGTAAGGTAAAGGCTGCAGGTGAGGTGCAAAAATATACGGGAAAACCCTGTACATACAGGGTGTTTCAAATTCGAGCCACATCATTGGGATCTCGGAAACGGTGAGAGATACAGGGTTGGTTAAATTGGGGCAAAGTTGCGTAATTTGATGCTTAACAAAATGCCGCTTTGATATTTATAGACCGTGAGATAGGGCCTGTTTAGTGGAGTCATTTTTTTTGTCTGGCATTTTGAGGGATGAATGTGGCTAGTTAGCTGATGAGAATATAGGTGGTTTTAGTGCTTGCCACCTGTTCGAAATGTCCACAGAATGTTTCGCCGGAAAACTCGACTTCGAACTGGGATTACCGTCTGGCAATTTTTCAGCGATTTGATATCTTAATTTTTTTTTACTTACCTTATTTTTGCTCATATTTTTTCTTGTATTTTTGCCTGCCAGAGCTGTTTTTCAAGGAAGCAGCATTTTGCTCAATTGTAACGAGCATTCTAATTTAATCTTGTTATTTTTTTTTTTATTATCTTTCAATTAATCTTAATTATTTAATTGTTTTTTTCTATTTTGGTGTTATATCGAAGTCTTTTCGACACTAAAAGTAGTTTCGAAAAGAACCTCTTTGTGACACTCCTTTTTTACTTATCGAAGGTTGGTAACACTGGCTGACTGATGGCTATCGAACTGTCATTCCCGATTTTATAATAGAAGATTTCTATATTTGGCAAGTAGTGTTACCAACCTGAACATATGAAATCAGGAAATATGAGAATAAAATGTTCAAGAAAAATTTGTTTTTCTTAATTAAACAATACCAAAATAGAAAAAATAGTATAAAATAATCGTTTCATAAGACATTTTATCGCACTCGCCCTTTAGAAAACTCGCCCGGCTCGTTTTCTAATATGGGGCTCGTGCGATAAAATGACGTCTTATGAAACTTGTATTTTAATGTACTATTTTTTATATTAAAATATTAATTGTTTAACTTGCAATAGTTTTTCATACCTGATTCTGTTGAAAGGGAGTGTCTGTACAACAATAATTTTATATTTCAACTTCAATTTCTTTTGCAAGACACTCACTTTTTGACAGAATTCAGGAATTTCATGTTCCAAATATTGGTGAACCTGATACTGCCTTATTCTTTTCTGGGTACCTACTCTACCTAAAGATCACTGTTTGGAGTCTGGATCAGCTGGAGTGACGTCACCCCCACAATCTATCCTCTTCCTGGATACAGGAAACAATACGAAAAGCTCCAGTTCACGAAAGTGAAACCCCAACACCCCTTGAAGAGCTCCGGATTGGGAAGCAGGTACTTGGTATCAGATTCAGCAAAACAACCAAGCTGTTAGCAGTGAAATTTTACATATTTTACATAACATTGTATGTACACAAAATAAAATTATTGTTTGTTGGATTTTTGAGTGGTTTCATTTGCACATAAAGGGACTACACGTTATCTTAATTTTTCTTTGAATTCACGACCCTAGGTTATCTTTATCTGAAAGTATACAAATCTAGTTTTATTTGTAACAAATTGGCGCCTACAACGTGTTTTAAAAGTCCTTATTTTGTGCAATTGAAGCTCTTAAATATCCTTTCTGACAGACTCTGACTTTCTGCTAAATCTTGGTATTTCTGGTGACTTCTGCAAGTTTTTTTAAATTTTTTTCTTTTGATTTATTTGATGATTACTCTATAAATTTTTTGAATTTTATCTCATTACCTTACTTTTTATCTTGCACTATATTTTTCATATTTTATCTTAACAGTATATTTTAAATTTTTCTCTTTAAAAATGTTTTCAATTGCTTATTGTTTATGCCTGTTTTCTGTCTATTTCTCTAGTTTTTGCAATTGAATTCTCTTATCTTTTAATCTCTCAAATTGGTAGCGGACAGTACTTTCTAGCGATCCCGGCAAAGAAAAGACTGTTCAGGAACTCAGCGCTCCTGCCTTCGCGAGCTCTTGATTTTTCTCTTTTCCCACTCCGAGAAAATCTTGTCCCTATACCTATAGTCCCATAAAATTACCCCATTTTCGTCCCTATTTCATAGTAAAGTTTTCTCGCTCCTGTTGAATTATTTCACTACCTACCTCAGTGTCATGACATGTATAATTTTTTTGTTTTGCCTGATCAATTTACCTTTTTTTTTTTGGATTAATACATCACCCTACCTTTATCGATATGGCCATTTTATCGTGTGTCATGCATTGGATTGCATTGGCATAATATTTTACCGTTGTCTTATCGATTTATCTTTTCTATTGATGTATATGTCAAAAGTTATCTTCATATTGATTGGGACATTTGAAAATTTCCTCTTTTGTATAACCAAGTTATCTTTTATTTTGATAATAAGTATAATACATCATGATTTACCTTACCGTTGTCGATTTGGACATTTATCGTGTGTCATGCCTAGGATTGCCATGTCACATATCTTACCGTTGTCTTATCGATTTATCGTATTCATGATGTATATATTGTCAAAAAGTTATCTTTGTATCTTGGTTGATGTGGACATTTTGTCTTATACCGTGTCACTGTCATCATTTCATCCCTTAGCTTTATTATGTTTCCTTACCTTTACCTTTATTATCTTCTGGGTTTTTTTTTTAATACCTTACCTTAGCTATAACTGAGTTTTATCTCTGAAATAGGTAGCGAATAGTACTTATCTCTAGCGATCCCAGCGAAAGAAAGTCTGTACAGGAACACAGCGCTCCTGCCTTCGTGAGCTCTTGATTTGCCTTATTTCCTAATCCAAGGAAAATCTTGTCCTTACCTGAAATCCCATATAAATTCCCAATTTTCATCCCTGTAAGTAAAGTCTCGAGTAAAGTATTTTGGCTCTTGAAGCATTTAATGTTTAAAAGTACAGTCTTGAATAAAGTATTCTGGATTCTGGCTCCTAAAGCATTTAATGATTAAATAACTCAGTGTCATGACATAACTTTTATATCTATCTTTATCTTTTGTTTCAATAGTATACATCATGATTTATCTTTGTATCTTTGTCTATTTGGACATTTTGCTGTATGTCAGGCTCTTAGATTATATAGTTACACTAAAAGATGAGTAATCAACTCCCAAATATGGTACAAAGATCTCTCTCCAAATATTTTGATTTTGTCTCTCTTACTTTGTTTACGCTGGTTTTCTATAGTACGATTTCCAAAAAACCGTTTAGATTTTGGATCTTTAGACATCTCTCTCTAAGGCAATATATAAACGAAAAGAACACTATACAAGTCTAGTTAAACAAAGTATATTGTTTGGGTGGTTCCCAATAGAAACCGATTTCCGTACCAGCGTAAATGTCAATATATATTATTGTGTGTTTATTTTATCGACTTTTTTGGGTGTTTCACTGC